GGCAACAAATGTACAACTGCTTGACACAATGGATGGATGGATGGATTGTGATAACAGTTGTAGGAGCCCCCAACAAAATGATTTTAAAAAAGAAAGAAAGAAAAACTGCATAGGTGAGAGACAGGCCTGGAAAGTTGTTTTCTGTCACAACACACCTGCTCGCTCTTCAAGGGTAGCAAGGGTCGTCCAAGGAGACTTTACCCAGCCCACCCTACAGCCTGTTCTTTCCCTGCAGACTCCTTTATGTTCCCCAATGCAAAGAATATTGGAAAGAATCATGATTTGAGTCCCTGGAGGATGCCACGGCTGCCATTTTGACCTGCTACCAGTTGCAAAGGGCGGGGTTCTTCAGGGAAGGCTTAGAGAGGTGGAAGCAGCACCTTCAGAGAGAAGGGTAGAGACCTATAGGAGGATAGGTTGAGAAGTAACAGCTTCACCTTCTGATATGTGTGTCATACAGATTTCCACGCGTTTGTAGTAAGACTATTTGACTCACCCTCAGGTGTCACACAGGAGGAACTGAGGCTCAGAGAAGGGATACATAGACCCTGCCCAAGACCATTCAGCCAGGTTGGCACTGAAATCCACGTTGAGGTCAGACTGACTCCAAAACCTTTCCACCCCATGACCCCCGAGCCTCGGCTTTGCAGCTTTCCGCGGTTAGAATCACCTTTCCCAGTCCTAAGAGGGTGAGGAGAACCAGCCTGGGGGCCCTATCTGACCTCCTCTGCCTGCCCCGTGGCCAGGAGGCCGCCGTCAGACCTGCCTCCACCCTCCATCGTTCTGTCCCTTTCTGACCCCAGCCGCACTCTACTTCTATGCTGGGTGCTGGGATTCACCACAGTGGCCACCCAGAACTCACAGGGATGGGGGTTTCTTAGGGATGTTCATGGGTGACCACAAGTCAGGATCAGTAGAGGGTCGATGGGAGCACCTCTTCTCAGCCAGAAGCCAAGTCTTCCTCCAGTCCTCAGCCTCTCAGTCCCGTGGTTCCTTGCCCTGTTCCTCCACGGATCAAGGAGTCCACCTGTTGCTCTGCCTCACCGTCCCATGGTCTCAGCGCGGCTCCTCTGTCCTGTCTCATGGTGTCCTTGCCTCTGTCCTGGAGTCTCCACTTCACAGACTCTGGTCCCCATCTGAGATCGCAAAGGTGCACGTCTTCCAGCGTTCCTGACTCTTTCCACAGAAGATGGCTTTGATGGGGGTGCGGTGTTTGCCTGGCAGCAGATCATACCCTCACGGAAAAGTCGAAGTCAGCCCCTCTGGTCTAAAATGCTACATTCCCACCCTGATCCCGTAACAAGAGAACGCCCTCCAAAGTGGGATCGCAGCCAGTCAGAGTCCGGGATTATAAGACCTCACATAAGGAACTCTGGCTAGAAGAGCCATACCGATGGACGACAACTCCAGAGATGTATCTGTATCTGATAGTGTCTCTGGTTCTGACAGCTTCTGAGATCCATCGACAGGATGGATTGACACCGTGGCTGCAACAATGGGCTCAAACCTAAGAACCATTGTGCAGAGGGCCCGGGATGAGGCAGTGTTTCTCCCGGTTATCCACAGGGTGGCTTTGAGTCACCATCGACTCGGACACCCAACAACACATCTCAGAGGGGCCAGAAGCCCTGTCTCCAGGGTCGTCCAGGAGTTGAGGGAAAAAAAGGTTAGGAGCCATTTCCAGGGGTGGATTACCCAATAGCCAAGGTCAGCATAGGGTTACCTGCACTCACTTCTCTGGGGTGAACAATTTCACATTTTTCTCACATCACAGTTCTGCTTCCAGGCCCGGCTAGCATTTCTCACTCTCCCAACTTCACAGCACCTTCCAACAGAACCTCTGAAAAGCAACAATCCCCTAAAGGGTCCAAGTACCCAGTAAGGAGCACACAGGCTTATCTATAGGGAACCATCTCCCATGGGCTTCACCACGTCTTTGATCTCCAATGTGGTAAAAAACTGACATAGTTAAGCACAAGCACACCTGTGCGTACCTGCCACTGGGCAATCCAATATGGTCCCTTGCATTTCTACCACACTTTTGTAAAAAACAAACAGACCAGCTTTGTTTTAAATGGTTTTATTAGAAACTGGTACCAATCGGCAGGGGGAAAGATACACATACTATCATATGCATGTGAAGAACATAAAGCCGATTACTCTGTACAGGTAAGCAACCAAAATCAATAGGGCTGCCCTCCCTCTCCTCATCCCTCTCCTGGGGACAGAGTCCAGGGACAACCAAC